TCTAAGACAGGTGTGGCTACTGTAATATATTTTTATTATCCATAAGCATAGATTACAGAAACTAAACATAATATCTGCTATGTGAGACACATACTTTCTTCCTCTCCAAACATTATACAGGTGCAACTACATTCCTGTATTATAAAATACACATATCTTTGTAAAAGGAAAATGTAACATAATAACTAAGCATGAAAGGAAGTAAATGACTGCCAAAAAGTGTTTATCTACTTTATTACCCACTCTATTCCACTGTACAAAAACACACATAATTTATACATGCAACCATAATAGTGCATATGCTGTAATAGTACAGTAAATACAAAAGTAAATTCCATGCAGGTAAAACCTAATAAAGTTAACCATTCAGCTCACTAAATAACCTGCTCCATGCATTCCAGTCAGGATGAATTGTGAAACTGAAGTTGTGGGAATCCTTAGAAAAAAGACCATGGCTTATTCAGGAATCTATGCAATAGGCAGTGAGTGCATCCAAAGCTTGCAAAATGTGACTTTATTTATCTGAAGTTTGTGCATGAAGGACAGAAGGTTCACCACCCCACAATTTAAGGGCTCATTCACAACTCAGCCAGATGAAGCAAGTTTTGCACAGTAACTACCTCCACCATGCCCAAAACGCAGAGTATAATATGACTGTTTATCTTGTACAGAAGAAAATTCTCATCCTTATTTTTTTCAGGAATTATTAATGCATACCAGGATGGATCTAGACTAAATCAGCTGAATTTAGTTCCTCCTGAAATTGATGGGACTTTAGTAATGTATAGTTTTTCCTATTGGCTGGGCAAAGTAGGTCTACATGTGCCTTATGTGGATAGCAAAGTAAGCCATATACACATATTCTTCCATCATGCAGAGAATCTTCAGCTGGCTAAGTGTGTGAAATCAGTCCTTAGGTGGAGAGTACTGTAATTAGATCCGTAGCCAGCAAAGTACAGTATAAATACCAGCTTAAGGTGCAGACTACCTTCACTTCCTAACACAATAGTGAACTGATCTACTTCAGTAGCAAAAGTTCTTTAACAGGTTTATTCTATGCATGTTTGAACACAAACAACAGTTAACTCAGTGGGGTCTTATCTGGGGGGTAAACTTCTTAACTGCAAACTTTCTTGGGAATAAAGATGCAATGTACTTCTGCAGTTCATCTCATCTGGTAGAGTTCACTAACAGTTTCATAGTGTAACTACTACAAATCTTTTACAATCTTTGCCTTGTAGAACCACAGTTCTAATGTTAATGATGAGATAATGGATGCCCAGGGGCCACCAAGGAAACATAGTCAAGTAAGAAACTGAATCATCCTGATCACAATTCTCCACAATTTAGAAAAACAACTGGAGGAAATATCAATTTAGTCCAATCCCTGGTGATATAGGAAATTACTACTACTGCCTCTCTGATGGGTGACCAACCTGCCTCTGTTTAAAAAGTCTCATAACAGAAAATTCACCATGTTTAGAATTGATTTTTCCCCTTAGGGACTTCAGATTCATTGCTACTCTGTTAACCCCTCAAAATATAATAAAAATGCACTCTATTTTGATTAAGGTAGTTCATTATCTTATCTGGATCATCAAAAAGTTGGATTCAAGTCACGCCTTTCCAAGAGATTTCTCACTGAACCTTAGAAGATCATTCTCTGGTGTGATTATCACTCATTTTTGTTCCATTCTTGTTTCCTCTTAAATTCACAATGGCAGTTTCTTAATAGATTTCTTTTTTTTAATGTCCCTGAATGATTATGGGACCTTGCTACTTGGTGCAGCACCTTTCCTTCAGATCTACCACCTGCCCTACCCACACCTTTCAATTGCTAATACTGAAAGTGGCCACCCCATGGGAGGCCCGGAAATCTACAACTAGGAATCCAGCCTTTTCAGTGGTAGCCACCTCATTATGGAATTCACCACCAGAGGAAATGCAGACGAGGGCGCGAAAATGGCGGCGCTATGGGACAACATCGCTTAACGGTGAGTTTTAAAGCCATAGGAACGCATTGAACAAAGTTCAATGCATTTCTATGGCTTTTTTATTCCCGTTTAGCGATGTTTTCGCATAGCGAAGGTTAATCCGGAACGGATTAACCTCGCTATGCGAGGAACCACTGTATATACATCCCCTTATCTTTTTGCACTTCCAGCATAGTGATGATACATTTTTATTTATTATACAGTATTCAGTTTTACCGAGTTTCTTTACCACCTCCATATTACCTTATAATCCCTTACACACTTCCATGCGTATTTTCTAAGACAGGTGTGGCTACTGTAATATATTTTTATTATCCATAAGCATAGATTAAGGAAACTAAACATAATATCTGCTATGTGAGACACATACTTTCTTCCTCTCCAAACATTATACAGGTGCAACTACATTCCTGTATCGAGTTTCTTTACCACCTCCATATTACCTTATAATCCCTTACACACTTCCATGCGTATTTTCTAAGACAGGTGTGGCTACTGTAATATATTTTTATTATCCATAAGCATAGATTAAGGAAACTAAACATAATATCTGCTATGTGAGACACATACTTTCTTCCTCTCCAAACATTATACAGGTGCAACTACATTCCTGTATTATAAAATACACATATCTTTGTAAAAGGAAAATGTAACATAATAACTAAGCATTAAAGGAAGTAAATGACTGCCAAAAAGTGTTTATCTACTTTATTACCCACTCTATTCCACTGTACAAAAACACACATAATTTATACATGCAACCATAATAGTGCATATGCTGTAATAGTACAGTAAATACAAAAGTAAATTCCATGCAGGTAAAACCTAATAAAGTTAACCATTCAGCTCACTAAATAACCTGCTCCATGCATTCCAGTCAGGATGAATTGTGAAACTGAAGTTGTGGGAATCCTTAGAAAAAAGACCATGGCTTATTCAGGAATCTATGCAATAGGCAGTGAGTGCATCCAAAGCTTGCAAAATGTGACTTTATTTATCTGAAGTTTGTGCATGAAGGACAGAAGGTTCACCACCCCACAATTTAAGGGCTCATTCACAACTCAGCCAGATGAAGCAAGTTTTGCACAGTAACTACCTCCACCATGCCCAAAACGCAGAGTATAATATGACTGTTTATCTTGTACAGAAGAAAATTCTCATCCTTATTTTTTTCAGGAATTATTAATGCATACCAGGATGGATCTAGACTAAATCAGCTGAATTTAGTTCCTCCTGAAATTGATGGGACTTTAGTAATGTATAGTTTTTCCTATTGGCTGGGCAAAGTAGGTCTACATGTGCCTTATGTGGATAGCAAAGTAAGCCATATACACATATTCTTCCATCATGCAGAGAATCTTCAGCTGGCTAAGTGTGTGAAATCAGTCCTTAGGTGGAGAGTACTGTAATTAGATCCGTAGCCAGCAAAGTACAGTATAAATACCAGCTTAAGGTGCAGACTACCTTCACTTCCTAACACAATAGTGAACTGATCTACTTCAGTAGCAAAAGTTCTTTAACAGGTTTATTCTATGCATGTTTGAACACAACAGTTAACTCAGTGGGGTCTTATCTGGGGGGTAAACTTCTTAACTGCAAACTTTCTTGGGAATAAAGATGCAATGTACTTCTGCAGTTCATCTCATCTGGTAGAGTTCACTAATGGTTTCACAGTGTAACTACTACAAATCTTTTACAATCTTTGCCTTGTAGAACCACAGTTCTAATGTTAATGATGAGATAATGGATGCCCAGGGGCCACCAAGGAAACACATTCAAGTGAGAAACTGAATCATCCTGATCACAATTCTCCACAATTTAGAAAAACAACTGGAGGAAATATCAATTTAGTCCAATCCCTGGTGATATAGGAAATTACTACTACTGCCTCTCTGATGGGTGACCAACCTGCCTCTGTTTAAAAAGTCTCATAACAGAAAATTCACCATGTTTAGAATTGATTTTTCCCCTTAGGGACTTCAGATTCATTGCTACTCTGTTAACCCCTCAAAATATAATAAAAATGCACTCTATTTTGATTAAGGTAGTTCATTATCTTATCTGGATCATCAAAAAGTTGGATTCAAGTCACGCCTTTCCAAGAGATTTCTCACTGAACCTTAGAAGATCATTCTCTGGTGTGATTATCACTCATTTTTGTTCCATTCTTGTTTCCTCTTAAATTCACAATGGCAGTTTCTTAATAGATTTTTTTTTAATGTCCCTGTACGATTATGGGACCTTGCTACTTGGTGCAGCACCTTTCCTTCAGATCTACCACCTGCCCTACCCACACCTTTCAATTGCTAATACTGAAAGTGGCCACCCCATGGGAGGCCCGGAAATCTACAACTAGGAATCCAGCCTTTTCAGTGGTAGCCACCTCATTATGGAATTCACCACCAGAGGAAATGCATCTGGACCCACCTTCCTGGAGACAAATAAAAACATGGCTTTTCAGCCAGGCCATTGACAATCTGCTTATTTAATTATTTGATAGCTGATTTTTTTAAAAAAAAAAAAACCCTGATTTTATAATCTGCCATCTTGGAATTTTATGTTTGTGATACAATTAAGTTTACTGGAGTGAGATGTTTTTCCTTTCTTTTCTTTCTTTGATGCTTTATTTTAAGTATTGCAGTGGCTTCCCACTAGATGGGTGGGATAGAAGGTACATACATACATACACACACACTTTTATACTTGTTTTTTAAAGTTTCCTGAACCCAACTCCTTCTAAAAAGAAGCATCCTTCAGAAAATATAATACAGAGACAATGAAGGAGTTCATCATTATGAATTAAATTTCCTTTATTCTGAAACTTTTCTGAGGACACATAAGTAGGGGGACAGCTTTATGCAGAAATCATCTTCCATACATTCCAAAAATATATGTGTGTGTGGCTTGCAAGTACTAGAAATGCTTCTAAAGTCTCTGTTAGTTCCATTTAAGGCCTTCTAAACATTCTGTAGAAGTTCTGGAAGGGAACCTACTAGAGATGGGGGTATTCGTATAGGAATATCCCTGCACAGGTGGAGGTAACAAGGGTCCAGCCTCGAACAGCTACTCTTTGACCAGGCAGAGAGGCTTGTGGTCCCGCCTCCTGCCAGGAGTGGCTCACCGATCGCGATCTCCAGAGCTTGGATGGGAGTGTGGACCCCGCAGCATGAGCGCATCAGTGAGTGGACCGTCCGCCACCCACCCATTGTTATCTCCATCTGTGCAGAGATATTCGTACCCCCATCTCTAGAAACTACCCTCATATATTGTATACAGAGTCTCCCTGCACCGAGAGAGAACCAGTGAAAGAGCTCGCACAGCCACACACCTCTGCCACTCCTGCATTTTGCAGGGTGATGTCTTCAACTTAGTGCCATTTAATTGCGTTGGACTTCAACTCCCATTATCCCTCACCATTGCTGGCTATATTAACTATAAACATCTAGAACACACCAGATTGGGTAAGATTATTGTACGGTTACAATAATGTACAGTTATGCATACATACTATATACTCAAGAGGAGCATCTTCCCCAACAGTACAAACTGGTCAGAAGGAGCATTAAATGGGCTGCCACTTGAATGAAAAAAAAATGCAGTAGTTTATAGCACTGGATTTTGGCCAAGGAGGCCTATGTTCAAATGCCATCATTTCTGTCACAAATGCTGATTACTCGCACATTTTTGGGGGACCAGTCACTGCCTCTCAAGCCCTCCCGACCTCACAGGCCTGTTTATGAAGATGAAAGGAAAGAGAAAACCCTAGAACGATATGTATGTATGTATGTATGTATGTATGTATGTGGGGATGGGGGGGGGGGGGTTAAGAAACCAGCACCAAACGGGGAGGGCATGAATGCAGCTGCAAAGCCACTGAGCGGTCACGCTGAACTACCTCGCAAGGTTGTTGCGGAGCCAAGTCACACTTGATCTCTAGAGCTCCTTGGGAGAAAAAAGGGGAGCGCACTTCCCTCCTTCTCCAAAATGCACTTCTCGCTTTCTCCAGGCGCACCCCTCTCAGCCCGAGGATTCCTGTCGGGGACTCTCGGGCCATGAAGTGCCTTCTTCCCTCCCGGACCCCTAAGCCCACCCTACGTCTTCCTATTACCGACGGCCCCCCGCCCCTGCCCCCGCCGGGCTCCGCACACGCACCGCTTTCAAGTCCAGCACGCCGTCTTTGGCCTCCTGCAGGAGCGCCACGAACTTGGTGGTGAGCAACCCCAGGCTCTTCTCGTGGCGGCTGCTGCTGCTGTTGGCGCACAGCGTGCCGGCGCCGCCTTCCAGGCTCCCGTTGTTGCTACTGCTACTGCTGCTGCTAGAAACCGACTCGGGCGGCAGCGTCGTCGCGGCCATGCTGCCTCAGCCCTTAGCTCGCCTCCCTTCCTTCCTCCCCCGCTCGGGCCGGTGAGGGTT